GGGTAAAATAAGTAAATTAGTGCAATTACTAACAACGTTAAATGTTTATTTGGATGAGAAAAAATCACAGAAGGGTAATTGATAAGAAAAAAAAGCATAGGGATATAAGAGTTAAAAGAGTAAACCACATGAGATTTATGAATTTTTCCCAAATTAAAACACATCCAAATACAATAATATTAACAAAGTAGACAGGTCCATGTTGAAAAAAAAAAATCATTCTGTCTTTTATGATTTACGTTCATGAACCTATTCATGTCCACCTTATTGCTCAGGTTCAGAAATTTTATTGACACAAAAAGAGATTTATGGAAAATCATGATTCCAACAAATTGTATATTTTGAGGAGGAGAGATTTTGACATACTTTGCTTTCAAATTACTAGAGATTTACTTAAAATCTGTTTGGCCTACATTGATATGTGTTAGCTTTTTTTAAAAAATAAAATAAAATAATTACAAGGGCCCACATCAGTGTGTGCCTGCTGGAAGGGAAATAAGAGAGTGAATTCTCTCATGTGTTCATTAATATGACCATGTTATAGGAGAAAATTCTAATCATGGTGATGGTGTTACTGTTACATTTTATATATACTAGTAAAAACTCTTATAAAGAAATCAACATATACATACACATACCACGTACACAAGCAACACTTTATTGTTTTTTATTAGAGAAAATTGTGTATCCTTTTAAAAGATATAAATTTAGATTCTTTTAATAGAGAGATAGACATAAAAAGGTGTGAGTCGCACTGAAAAATATAGACAAAAAATAAAAGTGTGAGTCTCACTTCTTTATGTCTATCTCTTTATTAAAAAAACCCTAAGTTTATATCATTTAAAAGGACACACACTTTTTTCTTTTATTATTATATTTTCATTATCTGTTTGAATCTAGCGAACAAAAACAAGAGAATTTAAACAATAACACACGTTAACCTTCTTTTCCTTTAACCTACTTGAATATTATTTTTTATAGGATAAAATCATTTCTGCAATCGCTTTACGTACAACAACGACAGATGTATGGTTATGATTATCCACATTTAATGCTTTCATCCTTTGTATGGTTATGATTCCCCGCATTTAATGCTTTCAAGTATATATATATGAGACAAGTATTTGATTGCTACACATACAACAATTGCAGAAATGTAAATCTTTTTTATAAACATTTTAAACAAACCTAGCTAGCTTACAATCAAAACCACATTAAATAAGAGAATAAAGTTCATACTACGTAATCAACCAATATATTAAATCTCAATTCAATTAAGAAATTTTTCAATGACAAAGGGAAAAGATTATAAATGAAGCAATATTACCAAGCACCACTAGGGTTAGCCTAGTGGTGTGGGGTGTGTGTGTTAGGAGTGTGTGTAGTGTAGGGTGTTGTGTTCAATTCCTTGTAACCTCCACACAAAAAAAAACGAGTGAAAAAGATTATAAATGAAGCAATACCAAGAACGAGTTAGAGAAGTCTCTGAAGTAATTGTCAACTGTAATTACTTTGGATGTATTTTTTCATTTAGATGTATTTTTAAACATCATATATATTATATTAAAAAAAAGCATCATATATATTTATATAAATATATATAATTAAATGAAAAAGACCAATGTATTTATTCTGACATGTTAATTGAATTTTTTATATGAAAATTATACATAGTTTTTCTTTTTCTTAAAAAAATAAATTTTTACTCTATTTTAATGACATTTTGATAATTTTTCCTTAAAGATAGCATATACTAACCACAAATTTTATTTACTATGCAATCTCATTTTTATAAAATAGATTATTAATCTTATAGCTAATATTATTAGTATAAAAATAGGAAATTAAAACTAAAGAATTTAAATTAAATGAAATTAAAATATTATTTAAATATCCTTTTGCTTGGTTTAAGAGGGGATTCACTACATGGGTGGGATTTGGGAAAGGAAGTCCATGAGGAGGAAATAAAGTGCATTGAATTTGGAGCATACAGATTTGAAATTGCATATTCACATTACTTTTTTCTCGATTCAAATAAAATTGATTCACAAAGACTTATTCAACTATCGCTATCGTTAAAGGTTGCAAGACTAAGATTAACAGAGAATTTATTAAACATATAACTGAATAACACTTTTAGAGCATTTTAATTTATAAAAAATAAATAAAATTTAGTTACTATTTTAAAAAGATAAAACAGTAAAGGTTAAAAAGATAAAGAAAAGTATAAAAATAAAAATAATTATATAATGAAAATTTTTAAATTTAAAAATTATTATGTCAAAGTGAAGGTGAAAGAAATTTTATATTATATATAAATAGATAAATAATATGTGCTAATGCTATCGTGATTACTTGTTGAAGAAGTTAGGACAGTTTCAAAAAATTGCAAGTCCCGATAGCAAAGCGAGTTGTACAAGAAAAATAACAAAAAAAATTAAAAAAGTTAGAGGAGACTATCTACAGTAAAATATTAAAAGTCGTAGCTTACCCAAAAAAATAAAAAAATAAAAAAATATTAAAAGTCGTAGAATTCTCCATAAATAACTACGGTCAATTGTGTCAGTCATGGTCACGTTTATCAAGAACGGAAATCAGATCTTGCTGTCTCTGGACGGGTTAAGGGGAAATTTCTAAGATACTTCGGTGCTATTATTTACTCGGTGAGACGGATGAATCAAAATCGGAGAATGCACTCATTATATGAGAAAGAGATAATTTTTTTAATTCATATGTTATTTTTTGAGTCAAAGTCTCACGTACAACCAACCAATACATTAAAATTGCATCGAGTCTAAGAAGGGCGGCTGCCCCTTCAAATTTTAAGAAGTTTTTATTTTTACTTATGAATATCATTTATATTTTTTTAATTACATAGATAATTATAATTTAGAAAAAATATAATATAAAATTTTTATTTCTCATATTATACTACTAAAAAAATATCAATTAGAGACGGAATAATTCCGTCACTAAGTGAAATATTTTCGTCACTAAGTAGATTAGTGACAGAATTAGGGACGAACAAAAATCCGTTACATTATGGCTCGTCACTAACAGGTGGAGACACAATATGAATTTGTCTCTAATAGAGACGAATTTTAGGACGGGACAAATCCGTCTCTATCTGAGACGGAAAAAATTATGTCACTATTAGAGACAGAAATATTTCCCTCCCCGATTGTGATGGATAAATCTGTCCCTGTGATATTATTTTCCGTCACTAATTTATGCACATAAAATATGTGTAATCCGTTCCTATTAGGGACGGAAGTTGTTAGGGACGGAAGTTGTTCGTCTCCATTAGTGATGGATTTTTTCCTTCTCTATTAGTGACAAACAATTTTTCGTCTTTGTTAGTGATGGATAATTTTCATCTCTGTCAGTAACGAATATTTTTCCTTTTTATTTGTGATGGATATTTTCCCCTCTCTGTTAGTGATAGATTGTTTCTGTCTCTGTTAGTGAGGGAAATTTTTTTCTCTATTAGTAATATATTGTTTCTATCTCTATTAATGACAATGATTTCCATCCCAATTGGTGACATATATTTCTGTCTTTATTTTTCGTCCCTAATTTTTGATTTTTTTTTTCAAAATCAATTACACTGAAAATTTAATTTCTACCGAAACCTAATATTAATTATAATCTAATATTCTTAGAGCAAATCCAACTTACACAAAATATAAAGTAGCTATTCTAAAGGAAAATGAAGATCAAATCAAATCCAACCATTGTAATACAAAAAGTTTTTACATGAATTTATAAAAAATAACAAATGTATGAGATAACAAGCAATATTCACAAATGAGAATAAGAAAAGAAAATATGCATACTATCAATTATCATCATCCAACTAAGCATCACTATCATCATCATAATCATCACTCTGTGCATCTAGTGCCGAAGTCATCTCTATTATCATTATTTTTATATATTATGTTTTGTCTCTAAATCTATCCTTATTAGAGACGGAGAAATAGTCCTCTCTATTAAAGACAAATTTAGAGACGAATTTGTGTCTATTAGAGAAGGATTGAATTTCTGTCTCTAAATCCGTCAATAATGGAGACAGAAATATTTTCGTCCCTATTTGCAAAGGATTGTTATTTCATCACAAAATTCATTTCTATTAGAGATGGGTTTTTTTCCGTCTCTAAATTCTGTCTCTAATCCATATTTTTTTAGTAGTGTTATAAGAAATAAATTTTATCTACTACATACACATAAAAATATATGAGATCTATATTTTTCTTTCTCGTATCTTTATATGGCTCCACACGTTACCACACATTTTTATATATATGCACGTAAAACATAACAAAACGTTGATCTCATACTATATTTATAATTTCGCCCTATAAAAAAAGTACGTGAATCCATATCAATGCAGGTGTGAAAAGAACAAGGGAAGGAAGAAAATAAAAAATATATACAATAAAAGTCCAAGCTTTGTTATTTAGTTATTAAAAGCATTCAAAGATTGTTTACCGACAAAAAAAAAACAGCATTCAAAGATACACATTTTAAATTCATTATCCATGTTTGGTAAACGTCATGGCGGCTTCGAGCATCTTCAACTCCAATGTTGCTATATAAATCTTCGGTTCAAGGTTAACACTTGAACCATCGTTTAGTAGTTGAAATCGTGCTAGTTCGCACTGTTACTAGTTACTACTTTCTATTGTCTAAGCCTAACTGTTTCAGGTACACTCCTTCATTTTCCACTTCATAAAGGGGAACTTTTGCATGCAGATCAAACTTTTGTTTGTTCATGAATTTTGTCTTCTTCTCAGTATTATTATCACTATAATGTTTTCATACAAAAAGAAACAATTTATGGCTTTTACAGATTAGCCATACCTTAACTTTGAGTGGTGTACTTATTAACCATCATTTTTGTGTTAATATAATGACATGATATTATCTATTTTAGGTATTGCTGAAGTCAATACTTGCTTTTAATTCATGATTACTAATAAAGATTATGCTAACAGATCAACATGAGTTTTTTACCTCAAGATAGGGTGTTCTTATGGGCAATACTACTACTTTTGGTGTCAAGCACAACATGCTCAATAGCTGCTTTTGTGAAGAAAGAAAACAATATCAAATCAGCTGTTTTTCTATCCCCCAAGTTTGATCTAGGTCCAGGATCAGTTGCCAATAAATATTATTATGATGTTGAGTTTCCAAGAGGTCATATAGCTCTCAAGAGTTTCAATGCTGAAGTAGTTGATGAAGCAGGGAACCCTATACCTCTTTCAGAAACTTATCTCCACCATTGGCTTGTTGTAAGATACCGTCAACCTAAAACTGTGACAAACAATAGCCAATCAGGTATTGTTACCATGAGAAACAGTGGCTTATGCCAAGGTGATCTTCTTGGACAGTATTATGGTCTTGGATCTGAAACAAGAGGAACAGCTACAGATATTCCAGATCCTTTTGGGATAGAAATAGGTAATCCTTCAGAAATTCCATACGGATATGAAGAGAAATGGTTTATCAATGTTCATGCCATTGATACAAGGGGTGTACAAGATAGGATGGGGTGCACTGAGTGTAGGTGTGATCTTTATAATGTTACAAAGGATTCAAATGGCAAGCCCTTGAGTTCAGATTATAAAGGAGGGTTGGATTGTTGTCTTGATAATGGCCAATGCAGGTTAAAGAAAGGCTTTCCAGGCCCAAAGCGAAGCCTCTACCTGAAATACACAGTAAAGTGGATAAATTGGGACAACTTTGTGGTGCCTCTTAAGATTTACATATTCGATGTAACTGATACTTTGAAGATATCATCAAATAAGTTGAAAGGAATCAGTCGAGAGCACAATTGCCAGGTAACTTAAATCTCAAGACACATATAAGAAAACTTTTTTTATGCTTCAAGTAACATAAAATCATTAGATACGGGAAAGTGCCATAACTTTTGATATTATATGGATTCATTCAATGATGGAATATACTCTTGGTTCTTGGAGAAATTTTTCCACATGTATTTCCCAAAACATATATAATATCAAAGGTTTGATGTTTCTCATGTTGTAGGAGATAAACTTATCTCCTAAACACATATAAAAGTGTTTGGGGTCCATATGAAGTTATATGAAGAGAAAAGAGAGGAAAAAATATAGGCTCCACATACTTTTATATATGTGTAGGAGATAATTTTATCTCCTATAACATGAGAGACATTAAACCCCAAATATGTGTCATTTAGTTGGATTTGAGTGAGTAATAGAGATTTTTTGCTACAGGTTGAGTATCAAGTTGAACCTTGCAGCAAGGGCCATAAGGATGGTAAGGGTTGCCTTAATGTCAAGAGAACAAGCCTCCCAATGCCAAGAGGAGGTTATGTCATCTATGGTGTTGCTCATCAACATGCAGGTGCAACTGGATCAACTCTTTACGGACAGGTAATGTTTAAATAACACCATCACTCTAAACATTTGAATACTACTTTCTAGTGACATAAGTACATATAAAGAAAAACTAAACTTGGAAAATGGTACTATTGTGTCCCTTAAAATTAAAAGGAGTTCTAAATTTGCACCTCTTTGTTCCTTTTGTCTTTCTATGTGATTGCTTTCAATTGAGGACCATAAACATTATAACATGTCTGTACTCTGCTAAAATATAAAATATATTATATATCATAGTAAGATGTTAGTTGAATATTGGAGTATGGCTTATATATTGACTGAGATTTTGGCTGTGACAATTTCAGGATGGGAAGGTTATATGTTCTTCAATAGCAAGATATGGAAAAGGAAAGGAAGCAGGAAATGAGAAAGGCTATGTTGTAGGAATGTCCACATGTTACCCTCCACCAGGTTCAATCAAGATATTTGATGGTGAAACTGTAACTCTAGACGTTGGCTACAACAACAGCAAAAGGCACGCTGGAGTAATGGGGCTTTTCTACCTATTGGTGGCGGAAAAGCTGCCACACCAACACTTCTAACATTCATCTCCTGCTTAAGATCATGTTTGAAGTCTATCCAGTCTATCCTATGGTATCTGTATATGTTATTAAAAATAAAGTCAGAACTGAGGCATGTAGTTGAAAATATCGCAGTAGTTGCAGTTTACATTCTTTATGACGAATAAGATAGCAATCAGTTCTTTTTTTTTGGTATATATATATATATATTATCAGTCATTTGATTCCATGTGTTGGTGACAGTTTGTACAATATATTTACGAGGGATATTGTATCTATAAACTTTTTTGTTTACAAAATACATATCCATATTTTATTTCTTTTAAGAATTTAAGTTATGTTTGGATGCAAGAGTTAGAATATTTTTTTTTGTTTTTTAAGTAGACTTTTTCTATATTTGTTGTGAATACGAGAAATATACTGGTTGTTTCCAAGTAATAAAGTGATGAGTGAGTATCGTTCTCACGAGGATTAAATTCAAGCAATATTTCACTGTTTTTATCTAAGTTAGACAATTCAAAAGTAGTTTTAACAGGTAACCAATATTTAATAAAAAATTAATAAAAGATGGCAATTGAAAGAAATTGATTAAAGAGATGAGTTTAAAAATAAAAATGCAGTTAGGATTTACGTCACTTTTGATCCCTCTTAAGTGAATTAAATTAATTCAGTAAAATTCTAGCCCTCTTGTTATCAAACGATTCATCATCTAAATAATTATTGGTTAAATTTCTAATGTCTTAGTTATTTAACCCTTTAACCTAATTAAAATCCCAAATTCTTAGAAATTCCTTTTAGATTAAGCCTTATGCACGATGAATCTCACAAATTTGCAACTCTCGCAGGTCTATGTCTAGAACATGCAAAAATTGATATTTATCCTAGTCCAGATTAAGATACTAAATATTTCTACTTAGAACTCAACCCTCTTTATTCCTATATGGTTGATCAAGTCATACAAAAATCTGAACAAATAATTCAGGATAAACATATAACAATTGAGACATATTTTATTGAAAAATAATTTAAATCAACATAAGAGTTATTGTAACATCTTCGCCTCGAGCTGGTTAGTTAACATACATATGGTATTAAAGTGCATCATAAATTAATTACCTAAGTGGAAGACTTACGTTTAAGCTTCACTGTTAACTTACGTAACTTTGTAAATGAACCATTTTCCTTTTCTCTTACTTCATGTATCGCACTACAAATAACTTTTTCCATAAAATTACTGACTGCACAATCCGATACCTGCACAGTAGACTTACTTATTAATCACTACAACAAAAGAGGTATACAGAGGCGGTTCATAAGGCATTTCACGACGGTTCAAACCGCCTCCATATGCGAGCTTCGGCTGTTATCAAACCGTCGTAGTTACTATCGCCGAGAGGCAATTCCACGATGGTTTCACTGAACCGCTGGAATGACCGTCGAACCCGACATCTATGACGGTTGCCAAGGCGGTTATCACCGTAGTAGCATATCTTTTAAAGAAATTTACGAATATTCAAAGACGGTTCGCAAACGATCGTCGAATTCAAATTGACGTCATTTGGACAACCGTCGTGGAATAAGAATTCCAAGGCAGTTAGACAACCATAGTGGAATTGTAATTCAAAGGCGGTTAGTTAACCGTAGTGGAATAGAAATTCAAAGGCGGTCAGTTAACCGTAGTGGAATAGCAATTCAAAGGCGATTAGTTAACCGTAGTGGAATAGCAATTCAAAGGCGGTTATTGAACCATAGTGGAATATCAATTCAAAGGCGGTTAGGTAACAATCGTGGAATAACAATTCAAATGCAGTTTGTTAGTTGTTGTGGATACGTATACTAAGGCGGTTTTAACCGTCGTGGAATAATAAATAAAATTTATTAATTTTTTATTTTAATAATTTTGTAATTAAATAATACACTATTTTTTCCAGTAAATAATGCAATATTACAATACGTTGCCAAATAAATATTAATTTATTTTCAAGAATTTAAATATTGGATATCATTAAAGCTGATAAATTAAATGTTTTAAAATTTACATTTATTTTTTAAATACAATTTGATATATATAATTATTAGGAATGGCAATATATGTTTAATTATTAAAAATGGCAAATTGGATTAAAAATCAATCTTTTATAATCCAATATAATAATTATATAAATAAATTAAAAATATCAAGGCTTTTCATCCATAATCATAGTTAAAAGCAGTAAACTTTTCTAAAAATAGCCATCTAACCATTTGCACCGAATTCTAATAATTTAAAACATCAAATATACAGGGGAATGTAATTGTTAGTTAACAGTAGCATTGTCATAACACCAAAATACAAAAGCTATCCATAAAAAAGTAATCACGAAAATACTTGAAGTTCAGGTCCTTTTGCATTTGGGTACTGAAAAATGCACAAATCCAAAATACTTGAAGTTCAGGTCCTTGTGCTATTTTAAATACATTCTGGAAAAAAAAAAAAATATAAACCCGAGAACTATGGAGGAGATGGGTGTCCTTGAAGTTCAGGTCCTTGTGCATTTGGTACATGGCTAGCAGAAGAGGATAGCCTGAATCCATTGGGAGAGCCCAAATCTTGAGGCTGTAAAAAAAAAAATATAGCTCAGATATAAGTCTCAATCTTATACATATTGGGTACTGAAAAATATAATATGATATAAGCACAGTAGACTTACTTATTAATCACTACAATAAAAGAGGTATACAGAGGCGGTTCATAAGGCATTTCACGACGGTTCAAACCGCCTCCATATGCGAGCTTCGGCTGTTATCCAACCGTCGTAGTTACTATCGCCGAGAGGCAATTCCATGTGTTGGTGAGTAGTTCTTGAAGAGGAATCATACAAGGGAAGATTTCTGCACGAGATCTGCGCAAAGAGGTAATTGTAAACAATGATGATCCTTTACATTCAAACCGCAATGGTCTAAAACGCTTCCGCAGATGCAATTGCTCCAACAATTGGTATCAGAGTCGGATTGTGTGTTTGGATGTGGATCTAATTTTAATTTACAATTTCATGTAATTAGTTTTGCTTCATGAAATATGACACCTAAGTTTCTCTGTTATATGGTATGAATTTTGCATGTGTATCTTAGAATTCTTTTTGTTAAAAATCAATTCTTTATTTGGTTTTGGCTTTAATCCATGGTAGAAATTTCATTGTATTTTCTTGGATTGTAACAAGAAGGCTAATTCCATATTAGGTTTCCTCCTTGATTTTTATTTCAATTTTGTATATTTTCGATGTATTTCAAATTAAATTTAATGAAAGAAAACCAAGAAGATGCAAAGAGAAGGATGTTCGTCTCTTCACAGTGGTCCTTCCCCTGGAGTTGAGATGAGTTCAGGTGACGGCGTAGTGGACGTGACGGCTAGGATTCCTGAAAGTTGACTTAGGGTTTCTCGCCAAAATCTTGTATTTTGGGCCTTTAGGCCCATGGTTACCATAAAGGGGCTTGAAACAGAACCTATGGACCATAAGGAAGGAGCAAATCAGCTGCAAAGTTTACTAATTATGTAAAAAAAATAAATTAGGAAACTATGAATTAAAGTTTTTAATGATTAATTGCTTTATTTTTATGAATGGATGAATTATATGATTGATAACATGCTTGAAGTGATAACGTGCCATATAGAATAGGTGGTGCCATATTATTGCATAACTTGTTAAATTACGTGAGCGCATGACAACTGTTATGTTTGTACGAAAAGATTAATAGTCATTATGGTAATTAATTCATATTTCAAATTTTAAATGTAATTGTTATTACATTTATTAGGCTGAATTAATGGTCATTATAACTGTAACACCCCGTGTATACCCGGAATATTAACATTACATCGTATTAAGCGGTGCTTAATTAAAAAAAATGCGGAATATTCTTTTTCTTTTCAATTATGACGTCATTATCAATTACCATCTTGATTACTTAATCAATTTCATAAAAACCGATGCATGTGTGTAAATTGCAAGACAACTAACTGAAATACCTCAATATATAAATAAAGTGTGTATCTAAAATCACGGATCTACAACTCGTAGTCCGGACCGTATCCTGATACATTATTACAACTCCAAGTAAAACAAGACATAATCCCCATGCTCACCAAATAAACAGCGTAAACAACAAGTCTCAACATAAAACTCCATAGCATAAACTGAAGCTATAAGCATATAAGCAGCATGCAAATCCAGCATCCAACATGTCAACATAAATAACAGCAAATCTAACTCAGCTCCGGCCTCCTGCCGCCTTAGATCTCAACATTACCTGATCCTGAAATAAGCATTCCCCAAACGTGGGGTGAGATCTGTAAACAAGAAATCTCAGTAAGACAAGGGGTCCTCAAGGATCTTCCACCCCAAGCTCACTTACATGTGCAATATAAGTTCTAAAAGCATTTATATCATTATCAGTTCCAAAACTATGTAGTGCAACAGATATCTATGGCATGTGTGTTTATCACTATCTACTGACCAGAGAAATGTAGGAATACGTCTATCTCCTACATGTAGTACAAGGAACACCGCTTGCACCTCACCCACAGCCTCACCCTATTGTATGTTCTACATACTCAGGCTTACCGTATAGGTGGAACACCTCCATGCATATCAACAAGCACTAACATACAATAGCTCAACAGCATTTCCAAAATATCAAAAGCATGTAACACAGCATGCATATACCATACCCCCATGGGACATGGTGGAACCATAACATGGCTAACCCAAGGACACGAAAGCTTACCTTGCAAGCTCACTACCCAATGCCAAGAGTCCTCACAGCTCAAGTCCAACACACAGCAGATCACAATCTGATTTAGGACCAGCAAGTGTATCAACATACATAACTTAAAAGCATTAACATAAAGACTATGTTCTCCTCTAACGATTTACGTCTTAAGGCTTCCAACAAAGCCACAAGCCCTTAATCACATGATTTCGACTTAGTCCATTAATTACAGAAGTTCAACTTCATCAATCTAGGGTCCACAAACC